GGAAGTTCTTGTTGGACTTAGAATATAGGAGAAGAAGGGACTCCCCCAATAACAAGGCCACAGGCATCCCTATACATCCATATCCGCGACCAGTTGAATACCAGCAGTTGCAGGGATGAGACCCTTATCTGGCCACTTGAGTGCCTTAACTGGTCTCTGGGAGAGATTGCTGTCCTCCACACAGATGATCCTGACTTATTCAGGGGCAGTCAGGAAGACCTTTGTGTACTGTTACAAATTCCTCCCTTTTCTCTCCCCTCTGCCTGCCAAACTTACAGCTCACCCTCTATGCATGGCATTAAGTGCCACCCATGGTTGCACAAGTGAACTGGAAAGGAGGTAAGGTAGCCTGTTGTTTAAAGAGGAGATTAAAACTTGAAATCAGACATGATGTTAGCCCAGGAAATCAGATGTTGACTTAATGTAGTAGGAGTAGGGAGGTGTTTATATTCCCTCTGATACTATTAGAGGGTTTAAACTTCAGGTATTTAGAGGGGCTTATATTAAATTGAAATAACTATGGCGAACTTTTACCTTCATGTAGTCTGGGCAAAAAAGATTAATAAATAAACCTTGAAGTTCCATTGTTTGCTGCAATGTATTATGGAACCAACTGCAGCAATTTAGAACATGTGCAATGAGGTAGGTCTGTTTGATAATCTCATAGAAAAAGGATCCTCTGAGGAAGAGTAATCTTAATATTATGTATTTTAGTTTAAGAGTGATATGGTTAAGTCCGAAACTACAGTCTGAAATTTAAACAGAGTTCATTAAGAAGGTACGAAGATGGTGAAGGGGTGAGTTTGTTAAAGGATATTGGGTAATTAAATTGGTTTAACTAGATTTAATTAGATTGAAATATGACAATAGAAAAATAATGTTAAACGTTTCAATACAATTTACCAGCAGGTACAATTCAGCTTTTTTTTTGTTAAAAAAAGTGCTTCAACAAGCTATTCCTGCCCCTGGATTTGTTTCCTGAGCTCCAATCTTGCACAGCTGCACCAAACAATTACAGCTTGTGGGTTTCTTTCACATGTGCTCAGCACGGCACTGAACTATTAATTGCTTAAGGTCTCCTCTGAGGGTCCCAAGACACTTCCTGAGCCCAAGATATAACATTTAGCTGCAATTATTGACTCCTAGAATTCTTTCCTGTGTTCTGACTGCACAAACTATCCAACTTCTCTTGACTTCTCAATGAGCCCCAATTATATTACCTTGTATTAATTATGCACGTGCCACTTCCTAAAACTTCTCCCTGAGATGTGACTGCATAGACCCAGTTGCTCTAAGTTGCCTCTCAGCAATACATCTCATTAGTTGTTTTCTGCGTGGAGTGTGTCTCTACCTCGGTCTTCTTCTTCAATTAATTGAAACCCTGGAACCATTCTTCAGTGACCAAGAAGCTATTTTGAGTAACCTTTTGAAAACCTTACAACAAGACCCGGCATTGTTCTTACTTATGAATGAATGTAACCAACATATTGGAACAGTTTCACATGGCAACCCAATGGAATGTCTGTTCTCTGAATGTTACAATGTCCGACAAGTGTGAACTCCTACAGAATAAATTGCATACATAAAAATGGAACACATCACAGTTGAGGGATAAATGTTGGCCAGAACACTGGGAATAACTCCTGTCCTTTATCAGCTAGTGCCAGGAGATCTTTTCAAATCACAAAAGCAAGGAGAAAGGATCCCAGTTTAATGACCCATTCAAAAGACAACACCTCTGACAGTGCAGTACACCCTCAGTACAGTATTTGAGTGTCAAACTAGATGATCTGTTTTCTTTGGAATGTAGCTCACAATCTTCTGACTGTTGGAATAGTGCTTCCACTGAGCCATGTATTATTTGATATCTGTTCCTTTCCCTTACCCTCTTTCTCCGTCCCTTTCTGCATCTTTCCTATTCCAATCTGCTCTCAGAAAGCTTTTATTTGGTAATGGTGTAAGCAAAATCTTTCTTCTACTGAGCTCCAGATCCAGTAACTGCTTCTAACAATATTAAGTGGTTCTTTCTTCACACAATGATGCATTCAGGCTAAAATCAAATGTGCAGAGCAAAACAATCTCACAAAACAGAAGCTGGTTCAACTTAAATGGATGGCACCCCCTGAGATTGTAGGTATTATATAATCGACCTCTTCAGAGAAGTTATTACACAACTCTGGAGCACATGGGACTTGAATGACCTCCTGGCCCAGAGATATGGATCACTGCACCACAAGACCCACCACCCTTCTGCACCCACACAACCCCAGAGTACTATTGCAAATGGTTATTGTGACTATGTAAATAAGCTACTTTATATCATCATTAGTAAGAGGTATAAGATCATAGGATGACTAGTGGATGATTCTCTACGGCCCTTTTAGAATTGTACCTCTTACTTCATATTGTTATTTTTATTTTTATTACTTCACATTACTCTGTATTAGATTTCATCAGACACTTGTCTGCCCATTCCACCAGCCTATTGATAGCCTCCTGAAGTTTATCACTATCCTCCACACAGATCACAATCTCCCAAGTTTAGTCTCACTTGTAAATTTTGCAAATGTGCCAAGTTCACTAAGGTCTGTGTCAAGAAACAGTGCTAAATTCGGGGACTTAGTATGGACTGTGAACCCCATCATAAACAATTGCTCCAGTCCCAAAAACAAGTTGTTTTTATTCACTCACGGGATGTAGGCATCATTGGCTAGCCCAGCATTTATTGCCCATTCCGATTGCCCAGGGGCAGTTAAGAGTCAACCACATTACTGTGGGTCTGGAGTCACATGTAGGTTAGACCAGGTAAGGGTAGCAGTATCCTTCCCTAAAGGACATTAGTGACCCAGATGGGACAAGCGACAATGATTTCATGGTCATCATTAGACCCTTATTTCCACATTCTTTGTTGAATTCAAATTCCACCCTCTGTGAAGGCAGGATTTGAACCCAAGTCACTGAGACAGTAGGTGAGTTTCTGGATTAATAGTCCAATGATAATACCACTAGGCCATTGCCTCGCCTACTACACTAATATTGTCTAGTTCCTGTAACTCAGACAACTCCATAATCCATGTTTGCTATTTGCTTCAGGGACTAACTTTTCAAACAAGCTAATTATGTGGCACTTCCGCAAATGCCTTTTGGAAGTCCATATACACCACATCAAACACGTGACCCTCATCAATCCCTCTTATCTCATTCAAAAACTCAATTGAGTTGGTTAAACACAAATTTTTCCTCAAGTCTGTATTGCACTTTCCTAAATTTCTCCCCAACATTTGTATCTGAAAGCCTTCCCACCACCAAGGTTAAACTGATAGTTTATAATTCCTGGGCTTATCTTTATTTTTGATCAAGGCTTCAACATTTGCAATTCTCTCATCCTTTGACACCAACCCTGTCTCTATAAGGGTTCTAGATTAAACTTCAAAAGCAGATCCCCAAATTAAATTCATCACTGAATGCTAACATTTAAGCATATTACATGGAAATTATGAACAAGTAATTATAAATACTCCTGCAATTGCTACAAAAGAATCTATTTAAAGGAATTCTCATTTAAATGAAATTATAAAAATCTCCCTTTGTCGAAGGAAATGCATTACCTTAGAAAGAATTTTTCCAGCAGCTTTTAAAGGTTACAGCGTGTTCTATCCAATTCAGTGCTGAAGTGCTAACTATTTGCTATTAGGAAACATGACATCCAATTTGCACAGAGCAAGACTCTACAATCAGCAAAGGAATAACTAACTGGACAATCTGTTTGAATTACTTCAGTTGAAGGATATTTGGTGACTTGGGCAACTTCCTGTCTATAACAATAGGGTTAAAACCCACAACCATCTGACCCAATTGTCAAAAGTTCCACTCTTGAGCCAAAGTTACTACTAGCCAAACCACGTTGGAAGAAAATAAATTACTTTACAGAGATCAATTTTCAAGGACTATGGTCATGAGGCACACATGTTGTTGCCTTTTTGTAATAAAAACCAAAATATGGCATTTTTCAAAAATCTAGAACATGCTTGGGTTTACACTTCTGTCTTCAATACAGTGTTCTGATATAGTTATAGACTTATCACACGACAAGCAGTAAACAGTCAATTGACTGTACGATCCAAAATCTAGAGGCAGCTAAGTCAGATTGAAAAAAAAAGGTATTTCTGAGCTTTGGTGTCCTTAAGGGGATTGTGAAATAGCAGTAGTTTGTCTAGCTTGGCACCAACTGGGGGAGGGCTAACCAAATAAACACATTCCCCCGCTCTTTCCGGTCCGGTTAGCTGGAACTGAACTGTACACTGCCGCTCTATCCTCCCATTCAGCGTCAGCAAGGCGTTTGGATGGTGCAGCCGTTTCCGACATCTCTCGCCTGGAGGCACACCACTGCCACGCTGCGGCAGTTTTAAAAAAGGTAAACTCGTCTCATCGCTTTTTGAAATCAAAATGCCAAATTACTATAAATGCCGTGAAATTTGAAACTCGCATCTCAGATCAGGATGGGGCCGAGAAAATCAGTGACAGCGACCCTGTAACGATAAATCAAAGCGTTCCAATTCTGGTGAGGAACCGCTGGTTCTCTTTCACACACATTAGAATTTCTGTAACATGGAATGGCTGAACATCTTAATTATCTCGCCGGAATTAACTTGATGCAAAAAGTAACGGCGCATTTTATTTATTTTTAAGTCGAAATTTCTGATTTGGCAATAACAATGATGCGGGATGGTTGAACTAGGTTTCAAAGACAAAATGGAAATCCAAAGCTCTTTGCAACAATATTTTCCAAAGTCTTTCAGGTGGTGTCTTCTTTTAAACTGCACAAACTCTCAGGATAAACAGATTAGAGACGGAAGTACATGTTTTAAAAATTAATCCTGCCCCACTGAAAAAAAGTGCCCCGTTTTCTTTTGGGTTTGACATTGCTCTGACAGGCAACTTAGAAATCCCGAATGCATAAATCAAAACAAAAAAAATCACGCCGTACTGTATAATCGTACCTAATAAGATTGCGAACCATTTCAAAAAAGTGTTCCATCCAACGATGCTGTCCTTATTCTTTCTTCCAAATAACTTGTTGATTTAGAGAGAAAAAAAATAAGAGTTGTTTATCTGATTTCTGTTGTGCAGCCCTGATGCACAGAGCGCTTTGGATCACTTTGCAAATTGTTTTAAGCTGCAGGAGTTGCTGGACAGCGCTCTTACTCCTGGGGCTGTCGCTGTCACAGTCAGTGCGCGCTCTGCTCTACTAGGAGCTGCAGGCTGCAGCCCTCGCTGCTCCCCTGGTCACGTGCATCCCGGGGTGGCCAGCCCCGGGGCTACTGGGCATGCGCCGCCGCATGGGATGCCGGGAATTGTAGTCCAGCGAGCTCCGTGCACGCGTCGCGTTGTCCCTCTTCCCGCCACTGTCGGCCGTGCGGGAACGAGATGCTGCCGCTTTGAAGGCCGCGCTGTTACATCTGCTTCTTCCTCAGGTAACCCTCCCCACCCTCGTCGCAAAATCTAAGCAAGGATCTCTGTAAGCGAAACGTTCACGACCTTGGGATCTTCCAAAGTGGTATGCAGACCAATGCAGTACTTTTGAATTCCTGTCATTGTTGTAATGTTGAGTCAATGTGTGTACAGCAAGCTCCCATCAACAGCAATGAGTTAATGACAGATAATATGTTCTTGTTCCTGATGGCTGAGTTATAAATGTTGACCCAGACATCAGGGAGAAGTTCCTTGCTCTTCTTCAAATAGTGCCATGGGATCTTGTAACTCCCTCAAGGACCCTTGGTTTAATGCCTCTTCTGAAAGTCAGCACATCTGGCGGGATAGCACTTCTTCACAACTGCAAGGTGAATAATACTATCATAGAATGGCTACAGGACAGACCGCTGAGTTTGTCACGTCTGTGCTGGTTCTCTGAAACAGTAATTCAACTAGTTCCACTCCCCTGCCCTTTCTTGTAGTCCTGCTAATCTTTCCTCTTTAGAAATTTGACCAATTCCCATTTGAAAATCACATTTGAACCATCATAACTCAAGAAGTGCACAATAGATGCTAACCATTTGCTGAGTTTAAAAAATCCACATGTCACTTTTGGTTCTTTTGCCAGTCACCTTTAGTCAGCATCCTCTGGTTCTTGTATCTTCTACCAATGGGAACAATTTATCATTTAAGATCCTACATGATTTTGAACACCTATTAACTTTTCTGTCAATTTCCTTTTGACTAAAGTAAATATTCTCAGCTACTCCAATCTAACGACATTACTGAAGTCCCTAATTCCAGGAAACGTTTCTGTTTTACGAACTTATAAACACAGAACAAGAGTAGGCAACTTGGCCCTTCAAATCTGCTCTACTATTCAACATGATCACAGCTGATCATCCAGCTGAGTTCCTATACTTCTCCCTACACACTATGATCCCTTTATATCCAAGAACTATATTGGTGATCGCACTTCACCTTGTTACTTCCTTTAGTCGTGCATGTTGAAGCTTCCTTACCTTCAGCCCTTTTCTGGCCTCAACAGACTTAGTCACTGCAGTCATTCACTGCTTCTCTAATCACAAGTTACTTGTCCTCTGCATTTGCTGCTGATAGGCTCACTATGAGCCTATTTGCAGTAAACATGGGCGGGAACGAGACTGTGATTGAAAGAGCAGATGCTGGAGAATCTGAGATAACAAGGTGCAGAGCTGGATGAACACAGCAGGCCGAGCAGCATCGGAGGAGCAGGAAGGCTGACGTTTCGGG